TCACCCCAGCTGAAGCAGCTTCCCCTCAACCCACCTTTTCACTGCAAACTAAAAGCATATGCGTTTAACATTTCAGTACTGGGCAGTGTAACACATTTTGCAAATGAGCTAGGTAACCTAAAACCAAATAAAAAGCAGCATCCTGGAGAAAGAGTGATTTCCTGAATGCCATTGTGTACAGCTCTTATTTTTTAAATTCAAAAGAAAAGCAGAATGCACCATATGCACCAAAACATCACCTTACCTTTTGTGAAGCCATCCTGAAATACATGAAAAATTTAGTTTAAGCAGCTTTTCACAATGGGATGCAACACAAATATGGGACTGCCTGATGTAGAAAAACATTTTTCTAAACCAAATATTTAGACAAAGCAGAGTACTGGGCCTGTAATATGTATCTATCTGTTAATTAGCAACTATATGAGCTCATGCTGCTTACAGCTGGAACAAATCCCCCACAGCATTCTCAGGAAAATCATCGGACTATTCAGAGCCTTCTTCATATTGCAAACATACACATCTAGAATTCTCTTTATCCAAACACATCTACAAAATCTTAATTTTACTTTCAACATAGTCTAAGTACATAATTTGGAAAGTATAATAGTATTTCAAAGAACTTTAAAGGCATTTGAAGCATGACTTTATTCAGGAAAACTTTAAAACATACTAGTATTTTGATCAATTTCACAGTGTTGCCGGCAGAAATTTTATAAAACTCATTTTAGAAACCAGATTCTGCAGTAGCTAATCAGTTAAAATTTTATTCAACTAGATCTTCATTTTATGTATTGACAAGAAAAACTCCACTTTTTGGAAGTGGCTACAAAGTTGCCAATACAGAAATATAGAATGTAAAGAATACAATTTCTTACACAATAGTCTAAATAAAGCATATTTAACAGAATATAAATGTAAGACAAATAGGATCATTTCTGCAACTATTGACAACAAATGAAAATAGATTAGTAATTCAGCCTTCATATTGACCATAAAAGTAGTAAATTTGCAGTAATTTTCTGTTTATTGCTAGCTTTTCTGTATTGTTTCATCCTGGATCTTACAAAAGAAGCTACTAGAACGGATAAACTGAAAATCAAACAGCATCTAAAAGCATTAAGAATTATTTAAAAAATCTCCCAATATGCATTCCTTTTGCCTGTGTGTCTGTTTCCTTCTTGTAGTCATTATTATCAAATATATTTAGTTCTCATTTGAGAATTAATTCATGCCTACTGCCTATTTCCTACTAGAATTTGTGTTTGCTACTAAATATTTTTTATCACAATAAAATATGTCCAAAACCATATACTCTAACTGCACTTCTTGTCCATATTTTGTGACCCCATTTCTATCATTATGTTCTCACTGTGACACAATGTGCCTCGCCAACTTTGTCAGAGTTTGCTACGATTATAGCTGCAAAACTTCAAGGTGGAAAGTCGAAAAGAAAAAGGGGTAACATAAAATCTCTTTAAGAAACTTCTAGTTATAATGTATGTGTGGAAAACAAAACAAAATAAAACACCACATATACAGGCATTCTCCAGCTCAAGTACATTTGAATCTGAGCTCTTTCTACGGCCTTTTCACTTCTTTTTTTTTTCTATTTTAAAGAACACCCTGAACGTCTCTTCCGCCTTAGCCATTTTCCACACAATCTTTATGGCTACTAATGAAGGAAAAAACCTACTTTCCTTGAGTACAGTTATCCAAATCCAAAACCCTAAATTATAGAACATCCATATAAATGTTAAATTTATATTTGCTGGTTAGGAGGTCTTTAAAGTGATAGTAAATCAACACAGCTTATTCTAATTACGTGAGATTCAGGTACCAATCTGTTTTTGTACTAAACAAGCTTTGGACTGATGAAAAGTATCAGTGACCTTTTCCTATATGCTGAACTCACTTGTTTTCCAATTAAGCCAACAATGATACCTTTGTTTCTCCAACTAGTTACAGTACTTCAATTCTGTAGAACTATTACCCCTATACACACAAAAGTTATCAATGCGGTGTAAGTTCTTAAAAGAGCACAGACAAACCAAGATTAAAGCATCAGTGTATTACTTGACATTTACCACATTCCCCATTTTAAAATAGTTTGTGCTATCAAGCAGTATGTTTGTTTGTGTACTGTCAGTTTCTTCAGCAAAGCCACATTTAGCAAAGAACAAAGAAGGAAACACTGGCGTTATTTTTCCATCAGACTTTATCACCACAAAGTTTGGTGGGAGTTCAGTATATTAAGTGATTAATGTTGACAATGTTTGTTGGCTTTGGCTTCTGAAAACTAATGCAGGTATCTAGGATTTTACTTAGAAATGTTAAATATGCACATGTCAGAGGAATTAATCCTTCATTCCCTGTAGACTGCTTATATATTTTATCAGACTATTATCTGATCTGAACAACAAGAACAATTGCATAATAAACCACATTACTGCTGACACATGCAACTTTGTTATATCAGTTACGTATTTGCACAGCAATAGGTGTTCTTAAAGTCCTCTCATTTCTTCTGAATCAGATTGACCCAATTTGACATTTGCCTATGCCAAAAACTCATAATTGTACCTGAATATATAATCAAGTACAATATGTATCACATTTAATTGCCATGATTTTGCACAGGTCATTTCCCACAGTATTAATTACAGCAAAAGTGGAGTGTGTTTTGAGTACTTTTTCATATAGATTCTAAAGCATTGCCACAACATATCCTAGATTAATGAAAATCCCAAAGACAAATTATGAAGACTGTGCTCCAACTAATAAAGACATTGAGTACATAGCCATTTGAGCTAAACTGGACAACATAGTTCCTATCTGGTTAGTCACAGGTACTTTTTTAATTTTTTTTTTTTTTTAATAGACACACCGTTAGACATTCAACGCTGCTGCATGTTTGGGGCCACCTAGCAGAACTGAAAGCTTAGCCTAATAAACTTCACTGCATGCAGTCTCGAAACAGTTCATGCAAATTAGCTGGATATATTATTTTAATGCGCTGTCCACAGGGAGTACAATACAGCAATGAGCCATGTCAAATGTTACTAAGTCATTTAGAAAAAAGTGAGTAAAACGCGCTTTTTTTTAAACTGAAAGGTAAATTCATAGTACTAAAACACTATCAGTAGGATTCCTTACTAAGTCAGAAAATGTGTTATCCTTTAATTAAAAGTTCACGAGTTCATGGGGTATTTTTTCTGTCATAAATGGCAATTACCAAAAGACTACTTTACTGCAATATGAAAGTCACCCTGATTCACTGTCTAAGAACTTGCACCCTATGCTTTGTACTTCCTTCCTAGCTCTAAGATTATGAATACCTGAAAGTAACTCTGAATGTCATCCATCTGCTACTGCAGATTTAGTCTTTCCTGCTTGTGTCACATTAATTTCCTAAGTAAATTTTGCTAGTTTTCTTTACTGTTGTGACATAAACTACTTTCTTTACTTTAGGAAGAAATGCATTTGATTTGACCCTGATAAACTTTCATTCCTAGTGACATTCATTAGTTGTGACTGATTTTAAATTACACCTGAAAGTGCAATATGAATTTTACATTTCGAAGTTTAATAAAATGCATTTGTAAGTTCATGTTTAATGGCTTCTAACAGCACTACTTTATTCTGATTAGGTGAACAGTAAAGACCTAACATATATGATATTTGAGTTGTATTGTTTATTTACAGCAGCCCCTCTTATTCTGAATTTGTACTGTAAAATAACCCATATTTGCCAGGATTTGTAAAGACACAATTTAAATTTATTCTAATTCAAATCCACATTGTCCCTACAACAGATACAACACACGAAGAATTTAAATCCAAGTCCATTTGGCCGGAATAGAGAAAAAATGCTGAAATGATATTGATTCCTTTCAGTACATTCAAAAACACCTGACTCAACTGTATTTCTACTGACATAATACTGAGGTTTTATTTAGATATTAGCAAACATGAGCAAACGTTTTCATTGCCAAACCTGTCATTGTTATTTCTTTTCTCTACCTAGGAAACAGTTAACCCTCAACTACTAATACTAGCTGTCTCCCTTACCAGAAAAGGGGCAAATGTCGATAACGGGTCCACTGTCCCAAGAGAATAAATGCCTGCAAAAGTTCTCTTTCCCAGATGCAGATATATTTAGTGCTGAACAACACCTAACAGCAGACACTTCATGACATACATTTATATGATCTTCATACCTTCTGTTAACTCTACAGCTCAGCCAGCAAACCTCAGTTCCACTGCTCATGACACCCTTTTAAATGAGTTTATCTTTTTGTTTCTCCTAGATCTTTCTCACCTATCGAAAACAGTGCCATCAGTACTTTTGAATACGCCCTATAAAAGCCCTTAGAAAGAAAAGCTGTTGTCTAGAGCTGTCATCCTCATCAGAAGAAAAAAATATACACACATTTTATACATATAGAACTTGATGAAAAATTTAAAAACTTCAGAGACACGGACTAAAAATGCTTACAATTGAATGCGGACAAAAATACTCTTAGTATCTATAACTCAGGCACATTTCATATTAAACTGAATGTCCTGTCACCTGCCATTGCTTTGCAGGTCAGACCATTCTGCAGACCCCTCCTGAGGGAGTATCTCTTTGTTCAGATTTTGTCTGTATTCTACCACATACCTGCACCTGCACTGAAATATGACATTACACAATACTTGCCACACTCAGTTTCTTTAAACAAGTATTCACCTTCATTTTTCTTCACTCATAAAAAAATCAGCAAACCACTTAATGCACCCTCCCACTAAAAACAGTTCCAAGTTACCACGGCCAAGTTTCTCTATGACCAGAGCAGTGACCTGAAAACAGAATTGCATGCACATATATATACACACGTATATACACATGTATAAAGATGTATGTGTGTGTATGCATATGTATGTGTGTGAATGCTAAGAAAAAGTCTGGAGACAAGCCCGAGAACATAGGGACAGTAAGCAAGCACAGAGAATTTACTTACTAATGCTGTCCACTCGGACCTCTTTGGAAACCTGAAGGAGTCTCCGCTTTCCCCTCCTGCCAGTCAGGCGCCGCGTTGTGCCCCTAGTCCACACAGGCCCAGAAGGAACTGCAAAGAGAGAGAAGCACATGCCCCATCAGGCAGTTCTGTTTTGATGGGATCCAGCTCCGCTGCCTCTAGCTCCTGGGGGCTAACCCTGTTTTCAGAGCTGACTCCGACAAGAGTCATTCTTCCAAAGATTTTTTTTATTTTTTTTTTACAGTGATTTTAAATACCTAAATAAATAAATAAATAAAAAGGCTTCCCGGGGCTCCTGCCCCTTAAAATTTGCGGGGGGAGGGGGTCTGTGGGGGGGCGGCGGGGAGGTGAGAGGTAAGGTACCTGCAACTCTCTCCGATGAGGCCGGCAGAGAGAGAGGGAGGGAGGAAAAGAGCGACGAGAGGGAGGAGAGAGGGAGCGAGCGAGGGGTGGGGAGGAGGGGTGGGGGGTGTGCGTGTGTGCGTGTGTGTGTCTGTGTGTGTGCGGGGCGGGGGGCGCTGGAGCGGCTCTCGGTGCGAGCACTGCCGTCTGCAGGCGGGCGGCGAGCGGCCCAAAGGGGGCTGCGAGGGCCGGGGCTCCCCGCGGGGCCCCGCGCAGCCCCCGCCGCCGCTCAGCCCGCTCCCCTGCATTTCCTTACCGAGCCACTTGATGGCCGGCAGCGGCGGCGGCCCCCCGGCCCCGCCGCAACTTTGGCGGCCGCGGAGCCTCGCCGCCCCCGCGGAGCTGGGGATGGGCAGGTGCCGCCGCCAGGTGCCGCGCCGGCCGCCGCCCGCGGAACTTGGCGCCCGGCGGAGGGCGAGGGCCGGGCCGGGCCGGGCGCTGCGAGGGTGCGGCGGGGCTGCCGAGCCCCGCGCGTTGGCGCCGCAGCCGCGCAGGGAGAGCCCGGCGCCGGGAGCGCTCCGCCGCCCGCCTCCCCCGGCGCTGCCGCCTCCTCCCACCGCGCTCCCCGGCGGGTGCGACGGGAGCGAGCTCCTCGCTATTAATAATAATAAGCCAGATCTCCACCTTCCTCTCGCCCTGAGAAAACAATTAATAATGCATTAAAATAATGCACCTTTAAAGCCACCGGCTGGCGATAATAAAATAATGTTACCACTACTTAAGAGAGAGCTGCTGTGGATGTGGTGGCGAGGCACGTTTTCCTATCATTCACACCCAAATGTGAGCACACATTCTGCTTCTGGTATTCGTAAGTCTCTTTCCCGTACCAGAGCAACTATCATTATCACCATCAAAGAGAAAGTCTCCAAAGCTGAGTGGAGACACCGAGTCCCCAGGTGGCTTCTGTGGCTGGGCTGCAAGGAGGACACCCTCCCCCTCTCTTCCGTTCGCCCCAAACCAATCTCATCTCTTTTTCTTATACCGGTGGGTTAAACTCTACGTTTGGCCCTTTTAGTGTTTTCCCTTCCGTTCCTCCCCTGACGGTAGTTTGTGTATTTTAAATAAAGATTTCATTCTGCCAACCCGCAGGAAGCTTTTAACAAGATGCAGCTGAGCGTGTCGATATCTTATATCTTTTTACTGCTGCTCCGGCGTGTACATCAACTCCAAATTCCTTTCTTTTCTTCTCCGCCTGATACTGTAGCATCTGAGACGGCGGTGGCGACAGAAGCGGAGCGCTGCTCCCGAGGGGGCACTTTTACTTTGCCCTCAAAGTATCTCCCAGCAATGAGACCCCTCGGTGCCGCCTCCCCTCCCTCCTCTCCCCCTTGCCCCCCTCCCCGTTCCCGCTTCCTCACAGCAGAATGCTGGGGTGATTGCTGTAAGGTTTCCAGTTCCACTGATAACACTGCGCGGTCTGAGAACAGACGGGCTGGGGGGAGGGGATTTTCGTTTTAGTTAAGAATACAGTTTTGTGGTCGCGCTATTTTTAATTACGATTTTTCCAGAAATAGATCCCATCGAGATTTAATTTACAAAGGTACTTCTAACTCCGGTCAACACCGTCTTCCCAGAGGAATATTTTCAATCATTTGCCTCGCCACAACAATGCACAAATGTTTGTCACAGACCTTAAACGTTATGTGAATTTTTTTTTAAAAAAAAGGATTTTGTTGTTGGGGTATCTTTGTGTACAAGGGAGTTTGACTGGAGGGTGTTTTAGTGCTTTTGGGTTTAGGTTGGGTTTTTTTGTTGGTCGGTTGTTTTTTTTCATTTTCCCTTCATCTGCATTAAAGTTAAACTTTGTTCAGCATGCCGGCTACCTCCTATTGATTTCTGGGGTTTAAGAAACACTTCCCCCCTCCTCCGGGGATTTTTTGGAATCAAGGTGATTTCTTTCCGCGATAGGCGTTTCCCAGCGCTTAGATGCGCAGTTCCATCTCTCTGGTCCCCTGCCACTCCACCGATGCTGAGCCGCAAGCGCTGCCTCGTGCTGTGGCGGCAGGTTGAGCCTGAGGAGCGGCACGGAGCCGGCCTGGGGCTCTGCAAAGGCCGAGCGCTCCTGCGGGGCAGCATCCCCGCCGCCCACGGGCGCGGCAGCGGGTCAGCCGAGCGGCCCGAGCGAGGGACAGGGGGGTCCCTCCCGTCCTGGAGGTGGCGGAGGGCGCGCATCCTCCTGCGGGCAGGATTTCATCTCCGAGGTTCATCCAGAACCAGAGCTACCCTTGAAAGTGTATAGGCGACGAAGAGCGCCTGGTGCTACTGACTATTGCCGGCTTTTCTCTGAGCTTCCCTTCAACTCAATTTGACCTAGTTTGAGGCATGAAGGTTCAGAGTTTGGGGGGAGGGGTGGGAAGGACAATGAAAGAAGAATAGAAAAAAATTTTCCCTCCACGTTCTTCCTCCCAGTGGTGTTTTACTCTTTGGTAGATCACTTGTGAGTAGTGCTTTAATTTGCAATGAAATATGGCATTGCTAATTATTTTAGAACTGATTTTATCTCTACAGTAAAACACTGCTAAATGCAGTAGAAAATTAGGGATTCTAAGATCTTTACACTCTGTATCAATATGGAATTATACATCTTCCATTCTTACGTTCCTTTCAATCTTCAGTCCTTTCCTCTTTCCTTCCTTTCCTTTTTTTTTTTTTTTTTAGTTATTTACATTTTTCTGATTTACGATATCTTATTCCTGCATTTGACTTCCAGGAGTAATAAAGTGGTATATGTTATATTTCATGAGTACCAAAGTTTTATTCAGTATCGTATCTTAAAGAGGTTGCTTCATGGTAATTAACAGTGAAGCCCAAATGAACCGCTCATTCTGCATCCTGAGCATTACACTATGTTCTCAAACTTTGTGAAAGGCAGGCGTGAATTTAATATTAAGAAGTGTTGCGTAGTTGGTCACAAGAGCCACTGGAAGTAAAATAATGGGAAGGCAAAACCACATAGAAATAAACTAGAAGCAAAAATTAAATGTTCCAAATATTAATGTAGAAGTTAATATGTATCAGAATTGAGAAAATCTCCAAGCTGCAGTGTCTGCCAGAATTTATGACCTCTGCTATCTGAAATAACTGACACTTAACAGAGACAGTGCTGCACTATGCCCAACTAGTACAGTAGGAAAGGGAGTTTGTGTAGCTGCTTTTTTATTTTAGAATTTAGTTGTAGTAGTAAATATTCAGTTTTGTACATCAACAGCACTTGTTTTGGGGCATAATCTATTTCATTTTTGCAAGTCATGCATGAAAACTATGGTTGAGGTTGGCCATATAAGAAAAATGATAACAAAGCTTGAGCAAAAGGAAATGCAAAGCTAACAGGTTAAAGATGTAAAATACTGTTGTATTTTACTTCCACCTTTTGGTCTCTGTGGGGACACGTGCTTCTTTTTTTCAACCAACTTTAATCCTCAGACCTTTTTGCTTTTTGTTAACTGTAATCTCTAAAGAAAAGCAGTAGACATTATGACATGTAGCATATTTATAACCACAATGAACAGAAAGAGGTTGAATTGCCCCATCCCAAAAGAAAAGTTGTGAGCTAAGAGGAATAGGAAATACACTGGCAAACACATAGCAAGAAACACTTTGTGAAACTGCTCTTGAGCATTTTTTCTGGGACACTCTAACCTCTCCTGCAGGAAACTGAGAAGATGACTCAGCTATTTGAAACCACCTGGAAGGCAAAAAGGACCATTCCTGCAAAGACCAGGTGCCTGCAAGCAGCTCTGAAAACCCGGTATCCTCACATGATTAATTTGTGTGACACGGGTTTTTCAATACAAGTTCTTCATAGCTGTTTTTTCCTTGATCATACTGGTCGGAGCTGAATATTTGATTCTAAGAAACAAGTAAAACATTCAATTAAGACATTACACATTGTAAGTGTTAGTATATTTTCACAATAACCATGTTTTAAGAGGAACAGGAAAAGATGATATGTGGGTTTTTTTCTCATAAAACATAATTGCCCATTGTTCAAAGTCCATGTCGGCATGGTACACATATTCCAAATGTGCATATAATGAGAGAAATTAAGAAAGATAGGGGCATATACATATATATATATGCAAAATAGCTTTCTTACAAAATAAGAGAAATTTATCTTTAAGGAGGTGATTCTTACCATTGGATTGCAAGGTTCCTAAGAATGTATTTGCTGATATAATCTTTCATTGTCAGGTTGCTGAAATGAAGTTTTTCTGCAATAAAAAAAGGCTAGTTGTGCACCCATAAGCCAAACACCCCATGGGTAATAATGGGAACTTTTCATGGGAACTACTGCTGCTCAGGAAGCATGACAGAAGATGTTAATGATGAAAAAACCAAAATTTTATTTCAGGACAGTAATATTTATATATTAACTACAGTAATATTTATATATTAACTATGTTCATTTATAGAAGAAACACCATAACTCCAAATATATTTTCTTTAATTTAATTAATTTATATTTACTTTAAAATTATTTGGTAATTGTACCTTTATTTGAAAGTATTTTTGTTAATAGTGTTAAAAAATCCCTAAAATGTTGAACATAAAAAGTCATATGGTATGCTTTTAACTGTCTCTTTTATTTTGATCAAATGACTAAATGGGTCTATGTATCGCCATTATGAAGAAAGTATTCTTTCCTGCATAACTGAGTGCTGTGTTATTTCTTTATTATTCCTAACCTTTTATGTGTTAACAGTTTCACACTGCACAAAAAAATGCATTTATTTTTACTATCATGAGATTACAAGCTTGATAATTTAAACTGTAGAGCCAGGGTGAGAGCATTTGCATCTGTCAGTCCCGAGTTACTGTGCCCCCTCTCTGTAAAACTCTATCTAGGCACCTAGGTTTGAGTTCACAGAACTGCTGTCCTTTGTTGTTTCTCTAGAGTAACAATCATCCACATAAGAACAAAACTTCGAAGGGCAGTTCTATGGAACATGCTTACCTCTGGCTAGGCACCTGCCTGATTTTGACCAAGGAGTCAAAAAAAGGGAAAACCAGCTTAATGTCTTTGCATCTGAGTAGATTTC